TCTTCTAACGTGAAAGGTCTCTAGTATTTAGATAAGTAAATGGATACTATGTACTAACTACTACATATATATAAATCTTGAATATATACCTATGTATGTATCTAACTATGTAATAACTATATCACGAAAACTAGTTAACTACCAACATAAGTATCTATATATCTATCTAAATATTTATCAAGCTATTACACCTAACTATTGTTAACTAAATTACTAAATTACCAATTCAAATGAATAAAAGTAACTTACTTTCTGTAATACACGGTGGTGGAGGCGTCGATTGGAGTGCAGCGACAAGCTTGAAAGCGCCTTCACGATGCCCTAGGCGGCGAACTCCTTGAGCGGAGACGCCTTGCGTGCCCTTGAATACTGAGCCCGGCCGGCGTGGCGCATTGTGGCCCGGGGCAAGCCCGAAGACAGGTGGGCCGAGGCGGCCGCGGCGTCGAGTGGCCCATGACGAGGCCGAGCCTGCATGGTGAGGCTGCGACCGGCCGTAGTCTTGAGACGGCCTTGGCGACGATGGTGTGCGCAGTGGCGCCAGGCATACTAGCTCGAGAGAGGAGAGAGGGAAGAGAGAAGAGAGGGAGGGAGGGCCCATATGTAAGTCGTGGCTCAAGGTCAATAATCCGCAGCGCCAAGATCCATGGCGTCGAGCTTGGCGCCAAGATCCCGCAGCCAGAGCTAGTTGCCATGTCGGCGTCACGTTGCGCCAACATAGCCCGACCTAGGTGCCGAGAATCTATGGGCGCCGAGGCGTTATAAGCTCGGCGCCACCAATGATATTGTTGAGCTAAGGGTCAGATTTTGAAATCATACCTCAGGACATATTGGTATGATTTTTTTTTTTAAAAGGCTAAAAAATAAAAAATTCGGTCTTTTCTAGCTGAGGATGAGAAGGCTGATAGGATGAGGGAAATGTTGGGTGCAAATGGGCACCCAATTAGATAATTCTACACCACCATTTTAATTCCTTTGTCGTTTCAAAAAAAATTAAGTCCGAGTCAATCACCTAGAAAAATCAAAACTTATACACCCTTCCTCTAATCGACCAAGTACCCCAATTCCCCCAAGGTCCAAGGTTCATGCATATACCCACGATCGCGAGCATTATCATGTCATTTCCATTCTTTTTCATTATTACTTCGCAAGAAGCTTTGCTCGAGTGATATAATATCTGCGTCGGACGTGAAAAAAAAAATCGCGTTATGTTCACAAACACAGCCCATACCATGCGGATCTCGAGCAGGTGTGGTACTAGAAAAATATGCTGCCAGGTGAGCTCGAGCTGAGTTATGTACCCAATCGTCGAGGTCTCACTCTCATTTGTCGGCGCCGGCAACCAAGTCGTTAGTGCGCCTCGGGTTCCAGCGCTACAGATGCACCCTGTTAGCTTATGTTGAAATTTGGCTTACCACTGATGCTAACATGTTGTGAAAGAAAAACACCTGCTTTTATAGTTGAAAGTAGTGCTGAAGTAGTTCCATGTCATCCGCCATATAAATTCCTCTTAAATACTAGACGGAGGAGGCGGCCCATCGGACGAGGCAGCGAGGGCAACATAGCATAGGCTGATCGGTGATCACCGATCCGATCACTGATCGGGTGATGAACGTGCAGGGTTCTTGCAGGTAGCACTACGCCACATGACACCACGGGAATTTAGGGCGTAGAAGAAACAATCGGGGGTTGAGCAGTGGCGTGTGGAGTCAAGGGAATGCTTCTGCTAGTACTAGTAGTTGAAGATGGATGGATGAGTTCACTTTCCCTTTTCGTTTCCTTCGCTTATTCTGCTTTCCTTGTGCCAGCAAGGCTTGTTGCCTTCTCAAAGTGCGCCATCATCGTTAGGCAGCTTTTCAACTAGGGGCGATGGTATGTGGTGTTTAGAGTGCAAGTACACCCCAAGAGTTATATGTATCCCTTATGAGACATGTCTATACACCTCTCTAATTTTATCTAGCTTTGCCATTGTCTTTAACAGGGCAAGTTAATATTTATTATACACTTGTACAGTAATCTCACTAGTGCCACGAAAATGGCATGATCAAGCGCAACTTTCGCACTTCCTTAGATTAGCGAGGAGTGGCAGGCGCAGTTTTGCACTTTCCTTAGATTAACAAGGGAGTGGCAAGATCACAACCAAACACAAGGTCGAAGAAGAGCAGGCACAACATAGGGGCTGAAGGCAAGTGTGTGAATGGGTGGGGAGAGGTGATGGATATAGGAAATTATAAGAACAAAGAGACTAACATGAGGTATCTTGGTACTCTATCTGTTCTAAAATATATGTCATTTTAATTTTGTCATAATCTAAATTTCTATAACTACAACTAAGAAAAATTCATTGACATATACAATTTCAAGTTTTTTTTGAAGAGAATCCGGCAGGTTAAACTGCCGGTCTATGTATTAATAAAGAAGGTACAATTTCAAGTTAGATCCACTTAATTTGCTTGGATAGTTCTTGTACATGGTATTGCATATGTTAATGTATCTTTTGAGTAAAATGCTTGGGTGGTTCCCAAACTTGTCTCGTGGTGTTATCACAGGTGCTTGAATTCTCAAAATATAATTTTCAAGTCTCTGAACTTCGTGTTAGAGTGTTATATGTAGGTCCCGGAGACTCTCTAAATGTGACTTTTAGGTCCTCGAACTTGTCACACAGTGTCCGACTTGCTTTGCACCTTAACGTGGTATGCGATGATAGATCTCTCATAGCTCAGGTTTTTGACTAGTGGGTCTTATTACGAGGATATGCACACATATGGCCCTCTAAGATGACATGGTGGATAGGTGCCCATGCCCGGATGATGAGTGATTGTCAATATGGGATGATCAAGCTTTGGATGAGTTGGTCTAGCTGAGTTGAATTAACCAGTGAGTCTAGTTGGTGTGTGTACAACAAAATGTCATGTGCAAGTGTTAAGTGCATCAAGGTGTTTGAGCGACAATGGCTGAGGTCAAGTGAGAGGCTCAGGCTCATAGACCACAATCAATGAAGAAGCGAACACAAAGGCTTGGATCAAGGGACCAGGCCAGAGGACGAACCATGGATGGCTAGCACTTGGACACTGGCGACAAGCAGGGAGTACATATCGAGATGAAGGTCCAAGACGGTGTTGACTGAAGTCAAGGTAGGAACTTGACCAAGTCAAGTTAGAGTGCAAGAGAACTTGGTGGGTGGGCTAGGTCGGGGACTTACAGTCGGCGCATAGAGATGATGGAGGTTGGACTTAGAGTCGACCCATAGACAGTGGAGGTTGAGTAGAGGCTACACAACTCTGGAGGCTTTGGTCACTTCGGTCTCAAAACAGAGTTAGGAGGTTTGCTAATTTGGGCCTTAAAATCGGATCAATAGATACATGGTGGATCAATAGACTAGGAGGTTTGCTAGTTTATAAGGTTTAATGTAGTTACGACTATGCAAGCGTCAAACCAGCTGAAACCAACCCGATGTGCTAACCACATGCGTTGGGTCGAAAATCCGTACTACTCCCTCGATTATCTTTTTTTAGGCGTACTCTGATTTTTCATTTTTGACTCTGTGCCGTTTAGTTTCCAAAATTTTGCAAAATTTTTCAAGATTCCCCGTCACATCGAATCTTTAGACGTATGCATGAAGCATTAAATATAAATAAAAAATAAAACTAATTACATAGTTTAGACGAAATTCACGAGACGAATCTTTTAAATCTAATTAGATTATGATTGGACACTAATTGCTAAATAACAACGAAAGTGTTATAGTACCCTTTCCAAAAAAATTCGCCAACTAAACAAGGCCTCTATGTTAGGCGTGGAGCAAATTCCGATGCGAGAGTTAAAGAGCAGACATTCGGGCCGTTCGCTGGTCTGATTTGTTCAGACCAACCGGCTGGTTGTCTCACAGATCACTATGTATTTTCCAGTCACTTCTAGCCGCTATAGTGTTTCTCCCTCACAACAACCAGTCAGTTTTAGCCAAGTTTCAGACCAGTGAACGGGGCCATTAGCATTACTTGTTCGCAGCAAATCCGAAGCGTTTCTTTTTGGATGCGACATCAAAGTTCACTGCATGGTGCTACGCTGGCTCCTTCCCGTTGGTTTATTTCAGGGTGGCAACGAAACAGGGTTGCATGCATGCATAGTTATGGCGTACATATCATAGGGACAGATATCAAGACAAGTCATATAATCCACAGACAAAGAATTTATTTCTAAGTTGTTTATTGTTTTGTATGTAGCTAAAATCAACTATAAATAAATTTTTATATATCATTATGTGGCTATTTGATAGAAAATATATCATGAATAAATAAGAGCAACATGATTACATTATTTTTTAAAACCATAACGTTGCCATATGTGCTCGAATAGATCCTTATTAAGTTGCCTATGAAGTGCCTCTGCGAAGGTAGGATCAAGGTTGTCACTTGTACGCATTTCAGGTGGGAGCACTATCGTCACACTTGCATTCTCATTCAAATCCAAGATTTCTCTAATTGAATCCTTCGCATCTTCCACTATCATATTGTGAAGGATAACACAAGCTTGCATTATATTGATAACATAATGAAAGTTCTGTGGCTGTGGCTGATTACCGAAGTAGCTCATGAAACCACCATGTGGACGTAGGTCTTTATTAGGGCTGGACAAAATACTCAAGGCTCGCCAACTCGCTCGACTCGTGGCCAGCTCAGCTCGACTCGACTCGGCTCGTTTTAACTTTTTTCACGAGTTGAGCTAAAAGTCTAGCCCGCTATTTTAACGAGCCAGCTCGAGAGCTGCTCACGAGCTGAAACGAGATGAGGCCTATCAGCCCATGACCATAAATCCAGAAGATTATGATGCTGACCTAGAAGTGTACACCTATTCTATTGATATGTAGTCCTTATTTTCAGCTGTTTCATATGAATTTTAATTTTATAATTGTTGTGGTAGTTAAATGTTGATTTTATGGATTGTTTTCCAGGGAGAAGATAATGATGCTGATATTGAATCTGTGGACTTTTTTAAGTTTGTGGTGGCAAGCAACTAGTTAGTATGATAGAACTGCAAGATCATGGATGGACCAGCTATGTTGCATGATCGATACTTTTGATAAACGTAATATGTATTAATCATGTATGATTGCATAATGGTGGACGTCACCTTCTGAAATTAATGTAACATAAATATTATAAACATGTGTGTCCTATTTTTTTTAATAGCTCGCGAATTAAACGAGCCAGCTCGAGCTCGGTAACGAGCCGAGCCAAGCTACCCCTCTAGCTCGTAATATTAACGAACCGAGTCGAGTTGGCTTGTTAGCCTAACGAGCCTACTCGAACTGGACCGAGCTGAGCCGAGCCGAGCTGGCTCGATATCCAGCCTTAGTCTTTATCCCTGCAGAACATAGGTAGTATTAACACCACGCAGTTTTCAGAATGACTGACAGTAGTAGGAGCAAACATAGATAGTGACTGAAATTACTGTAAATCAAGGAATACATGCTGAATATTTTTTTTTTTGACAGGGCAAACACACGTCAGCTAAAAGCTTCTATTACTAGTAATTGAAACTAAAGTAATTTATTACAGGTAGGACAAAATCATTTGCAAACTAATGATTTAGTAGCTCTGTATAACAAAAGTAATTCATCTAAGGACTTTCCTGTCCATGGTATAACCAAAAAAAGGAACTAACTTTGCAAGAGATTGCTAACACAAAGAGACTGAAAAGCCCTAGTTCCATCATCAGATTCTGCTTTCATCAGGGAGGTGAAAGATAATCACCAGAAGCAAACACACATGAGCAATTCTGCTTTCAGAGAAAAATTCAGACTTGGCATATTACTATCAGGTATATTACTACCATTGTGATTACAGACTTAGCATTATTTGCATGAGCTGCATACATTTCTAGCACACAAAACCTGCATCTTCCACTGCATATTAAAGCTAGGATATTCTTCAACGATTCTTCTACTACATCTTAAACAGGTTTGTAAATTGAAATAATCCCAACTATAGTCACAGATCTACAAGTTTTGAGTGATTACCATGATGCATCCCAAGCTGTTGAACGCCCAAATCCAGGAGAAGAGGGATCACCGCCGACCGCATCCCACAAAGCTGGAGACGGTGAAGGGGGGAACGGAAACACATCCATGGACGACGAAGAGCTGGGGAAGGCACCTACACTGGATCCATCGATGGAGGATGGCGCCGTCGCCGTGCCCTTGCCGAGACCACTGATGGTTGGGCGGGTCGCGGTCGCTGTTGAGCCGCCTCCACGTCCGAGAGAGCGGGTCGTTGGCGCTGAGCCCCCACCACGACCGAGGGAGAGAGCCGCCGGCGCTGAGCCATCACCGCGACCGAGGGTATGGGCTAGGGCCGCCGCCGCCGCTGCATCCAAAGCCGACGGTGTCGAGCCCTTCTTTTTCCTAGCTGCAGCTGACGTCGACATCTTGGGCGAACCCAAATCGAAGACGAGAGTGCGAGATGGAGATGGAGATGGAGATGGATTTGGGGGAAGTGAGGATGTGGGGATATATGAAGGTGGAGATGGATTTGGCGCGGAAAAACCCCGTGCGCGCCAAATCGATTGCTGCTGCGCGCGCAGCTGCTGCCCGCGCGAGATCCGAGCGCGCCGTCGCCTCTAGGAGACGAGCCTGTACAACGGAGCCGTGGTCGTCTGTTCTACATTGGAGCACGGGGCGACGATGCGCCCGTCTCTCGGCTAAGAGCATGGCTAATAAGCCAGCCCGCTGCCGGCTAAACGAAACTGGGCGCTTCCAGCGATAGGGAGCAGTCAGCTCATGAATAGATCGGCTAATAGGTAGATTATAATAATAATTCAAATATTTAATGGCTGTATATACGGGCCCTCAGCTGCATGCATGGCCCCGTGAAAAACGTCGGCTCTGCGCACGCTGATGGCTGAAAGCATACGATTACCTCCTCGATTCGTGCGTGCAGCCCGGCGTTTCACTAACCGCTCCATTCTCTCTCTTCTATTCTCACTCCTTCATCTCAGATTCTGTTGACGTGGAACTCCATTTAGCCTGCAGACTGTACCTTATTATACTTGCTCTAAGCTAGGGGTGTTTGTGAAAAAGGCCATCACGGAGACGAGAAAAAGACGCCCGTTGTACGTGCTTAGTGTCGTTAATCCTCCACCTCGCTTTGTGAGATTTATTGGTATCCGTAAACTGGCCTCCACGCCTAACAAATGATAATGGAGGGAGTAACAAACCACAATCACCGGACCAGAAACAGGTCTAGGATTCAGAGAGACACGGATAATCGGGCGGTGCTAGTGTCCGACCTAGGTGGCAGGAAGGAACTTGTTGACCAAAAATATTTTCATTCCCACGCAGCGTAGAAGTGGGCTGCGCTCACCACCATTGCATGCAGCAGCCCAGGCCCACATAGGAATACGGTACCACAACAGAGCGTTGCCCTGTGTGGACACTGCATGCATGGTAACAAGTCTACAGACGTGCTGATGTCATATTTTTTAAGAACTAAAAAAAGTATAGCTCCTCAACCGTGCATCCAAATAAAATTATAATTGATTGCACTATTGTGTTTAATAGAATGAGTTCTTTAAAACAAGATCTCACGTGGATATATTTAGATAAATTTTTACTAACGAACATTTATTTCATCAAGATAGAACATTATTTTTTCTGGAGTACAGGTGATGTTCCAGGTTTCAAAAACAATGTTCCGTCTTCATAAGCAAAATGCTCTACGTTCAGGAGAACAATATTTTAGATTTAGAAAAATAAAATATCAGGTTCATGTAAATGATGTTATAATATCAGTGAAAATAGGGAAAATTACAAATGCTGTGAACATATTGGAATAAAATAAAATAATAAAAACTTAAATATAATACAAAATTAATAAAAGATAAAACTAAACATAATTGAAAACATAAATAATACAAAGAAAAAAGGCAGGTAAAAGATGAGAATGAAAAAGGCATCACATGGATACAACTCAAATAAATTCAAAATACTATAGAGAATCTTATGGATATTATGTGAATAATTAAAGGTACATAAATAACATAAATAGAAAATATTAATAAAAGATAAAACAAAGCATAAGGCAAAAAATACATCATAGTCACATATATACTACGTGAACATCATAAAACATAGTATAGAACATCACATATATATTCTATTTGAACATCCATGTAACTCATAAAATATAGTAAATAAAAAAGTAACAAAATAAAATAAAATTACTAAACTAATTAATTAGATTAAAACAATAAATAAGAAAAAAATGTAGATAAAACATGAATAACCAATGGTAAATATATAGAAAAATTAATAACTTAAATATGGAAGGAAAAAAGAAAAAACGCATTACGCTAGGAGAACATGACATGTACCTCATGCAACATATGAGATGAAAAAACTTGCAAACAAAAAAAAGTAAAACATAAAAATAATTACAACAGAAAATAATTATAGTCAAATAAAAATGAAAAACAAAATAAGAAATAAAATCAACATAATAATAGAAAAAATAAAATAGAAAAGTAAAGTAAATATAAGAAAAGAAAGAAAAATAAAAACATGGAAACATGAAAATAAAAATGAAATGAAGAAAAAATAGAGTAAAAGGAAAATGAATAAAGAAAGATAAAAAGATAAAGAAAACAATAGAATAATAAAATACCACAGAAAATAACTAATAAAAATAAAAACGAAAGGAATGAAAAAAGAAAAGGTAAACGCACAATGAAATAAAACGTTGAAAAGAAAAAAAAACAAACGTACATAACTAGGACTACGTACGACCTTGAGGATGCGCAACCGCGTCACCGCGTGGGCCGTCGCACGCTCTACGTGGGCTGCGCTTCTGGGCTGCCTCTGAGCCATCGCGTTGGCACTCGCAGGGGGACTGGGGGTGGTCGCGGCCTCGCGGGGATTTTGGATGTACTGGGGGCTTTAACGGCAGGTATTTTTCGCCACGTTTGTGGGCTGGCTGGCTGTGGCTTTGGCTCATTTTGATTCTTGAGCAGCTCGTGCCACGATCCGAGCCTGGGTTCATTATGGTGGCTCACTGCAATAAGCTGAACAGAAGCGTCGACTGCAATTCTCATTTGGTCACTACAGCTTAAGATCCTGGAAATAAACATAGCGTTGCACCTAACAGTGCTGCCAAAGAATGTCTTCCAATATATGCTAACCATTCGAATAGCAACTGTGAGACCATAAGATCATGCTTGCATAAAACTATGTTTCAGTGCATTTGAGAAAAATAGCAGTATTGTTTTAACACGAGTTAAAATTTATAAGTTATAACATATGGAACTTCACACTTTACGAAGCCAAAGGCAAGAAATCATTTGCTTTCATAGACGATAAGAACGTCATGTTACATGCCTAGTTGATATGCAAACACCTCTTGGACAAATTTGGTAAGGTAGCACATCTACCTCCATCTAATGGGAGAAAAGAGAAAAGGGCACAACATGGCAAGGTGTCATCAAAATTTGGATCACTTTCTTGCGCACAGGCACTGGGACAGAAAACTTGCCTACCACCAAACCAAAGGTTGGTTCTCATGGGACCAAGTTACCTGGATCAAAACTTCACTTCTTGAGAGGATCTTGTGTCAGCTAAACAAACTCCACAGTCCAGATTTCATTCATCTACCAACTACCATTCGTGACATTGCAGATCTGTTGGGTCCTAGAGATCCAAACCACACACCATCATCACCGTTCGGCAATCCTAACTGGACCATCCTCTCTGATGTACTAATCGAGCTTGACATCTGCAAGAATCTACAATCCGGTTTCAACTCAATACCGAACCCGACATTTCTTGGTTCTGGTGTTCTGCATTTGCATCTCCGAATGCTTCGCTGGCCGGTTCCTTACCTGCTTCTCCACACTCAAGAACATAACATTGACCAAAATGACAGTCTTCATAATACTCTGGCATCTCCACACTCAAGAACAAACATCAACGTCAAGGCAAGGGAGTAATCCAACGTCATGTTATAGGACCATGAATACGTCTGTGCAGGGACACATCAAAATTGCACAGGCCCAGCCAAAATATATAGGCTTTCAGCTAAAAAAGGAATGAGCTAAAGATTGATGCTCCCTGCTTAACTGGACAAACCATTCAGAAATCTGTTTCACTTGCACAACGAAGGGACCTGATAATTGTCTACTTTCAGTGGCAACAATTTTGTCAAATGGCAGTGGAAGGACGCTGACCAATGCACCAATGGCAGTAAACTGAACACTTAAACTCCATGATTTTGTAAAACTTGTCCCTGTTAACAATGATGATAATTTGTTCCTCAGCTTACTAACACTTCTATCCTCATAACCAACATCATCGACAAAGGACCTATAAATTGGGACATGAACAGAGCAGATCATACACATCAGGAACAAGTTTAGAAATACAAGTCAGTACAAAAGGTATACTTTGAACTTGCACGAAAATACATATAAAAGTAGACTGAAATCAGAACTCTATGCACATTCATGTACTCGTGCTTGATCCAAACAACAAAATGTACATTCATGGCAGAGGCCTACACATTTTACAGAATGTTGGTTTTAGCTTGGATGATGGAATACTGGAAATTAATAATATCAAATTTGCGGAATGGGAAAAAAGTAGTTTTCTTTTTTTTTGAAAAAAATGGCAGGAGCTCGGCCTTTCAATTAAGAGGGGAAACAGAGTTGATTATGTACAAACAAAACCAGGGCTAACACGCCCTGGGGAGCAGGAAAAGGATAGGCTCTCTCCAAACACTAAACCCCCTCTAGCCGAATGCTCTCCTTCTTTGCTCAATGTTGTCCTTGATCCTTGCTGCTACTTGCATCACTGATTCAGAGTTGTTGTTGAATATGCGCCTGTTTCTCTCTTTCCAGAGGTTCCAAAAGGTGTATAGGACCATGCCGTTGAAGTGTCTCCGCTCAGTTAGGGGCACTACGGTAACAGCCTTGTCCCACCAGGACATGATCTGTAAGGGGTCCCCCTGCTGCTGTCCTAGAGTAATATCAAAGTGTTCCCATGCAAGAATTTGCCTCCACACCGCCTTGGCATAGGGACAGCAGAGACAAAGATGAAGAAGTCCAGTCTCTAAGGGCCCGTTGCATAGAACACAATGTTCCTGATGTGGCCAGCCTCTCTTTTGCAAGTTGTCTGCGGTTAGGAGTTTCCCGTGGATTAGAATCCAGGTGAAGACTTTGCACTTGTTTTCAGCATGTGCCTTCCAGATGCGATCCCTCGGGAATTTGGCAAAGGAACCACTGAATTGGATCCGATAAGCTGAGCGAGTTGAGTAATTACCATCTGGTGTCCATTTCCACGTGATGGAATCTTTGACGCCTTGGACCAGATGCACATCCTGGATCCTGATCCAAAGGGAGACAAACTCCTCAATGTGCGTGGCTGTGGTGATATGTCCCCTCAGAGATCGTATCCAATTGTTGTTGGGAGCTCCTGCTGCACAGTTTTATTTTCCTGCGGACCAGCATGAAAAGGTTTGGGGCCAGGTACTTGGGCGCCTCCCATCAAGCCAATTGTTATGCCAGAAGCGAGCCTTTAGGCCATCACCTAAGGAGATTGTGGTTGAGGAGTTGAAAAGGAGACGGCCGACATCATTACAGGGAAGCTTCATTCCTGCCCAAGGTTTGGAGCCTTCTGTCCAATCCTGCCATAGCCAGCGAAGTCGGAGAGCAGCGACCAAACCTTTCGAGATCAGGAACTCCTAAGCCACCAAGGTCTTTCGGGCGGGTGACCATTGGCCAATTTACTAGGCAATGTCCTCCATTTACATTCTCTTCCCTTTTCCATAGGAGCGATCGCCTGATTTTGTCAATTTTCTTTTTGGCCCACGCTGCCAGCGAGAAGACAGTTAGGTGATAAGTTGGCATAGCCGAGAGGACTGATGAGGGCGAGAGTGAGGCGTCCTGCTCTGTTTAACCAGCGCCTTCCATCCAGGAAGCCGTTGTCTGATGCATTCGAGATCAAAGAGCGTGCCAAGGTCCCGGTGTCTTAGCCATCACATATCTGGAATTTTGCAATTGCCCTACAGAGAAGTTACCAAACAGCTATACTACATTATGATCTTTACGTCAGCCTGTACAGTGGAACAACTGGTAGAATAACCAGACCTAGCTTGTCATGTAAAGCTGTGTGTAGCATAGTTCATGATTGAAAAGCTTTTAGGACTTAGGAGTTGGTTCGATTAGTGATTTTATCCTAAACAATTTCTTATAAAAAAACACCAGTTTAGCAATTTAGGGCCATATTCACCCAAATCTCCATCCAGGATGAGAGATTTGAATGATTTGTTTCTGATTGCACAGGAATTCGTTGCTTGTTATATTGGTGCCTTCCATATATATGCTTCCTCTTATGGATATAGCATGATATGGCACTAACTGTAATCCTGTATGATTCTATTTGATATCTCTATATATAGGTGTCCCCTGGCCCCAGCCCCTTTGGTGTGTGTGCATTACCCCTCTCTTCCCACCCTCTCATTTCTACACAGGATTCCAGGTATAACAGAGTGCAACATAAAACACATGCACATCAAGAATTCTATGGTGGTAGATTCTCTGTTCATGCATTGGAAAATAAAACACAAAAAGAAAAAGCATGGAACAGTTCAATACAAGAGTATGGGCAACAGGGCAAACCTTCCAAGTTGGCTGACAAGTACTAACAGAGCAGCTGAATAGTCATGGCACATGCACGATTCCAGAATCTCCAGAAGGCGGACAACGACATTGTTGTATGTCCACTCACAGCTCTAAAAATGGAGACAATATAATCAGTCGATACTGGAACACATCATATAAAAAGTTGACCCATAAAAGTCAGAACACAATTTGTAGCTGTGCATGGATGATGGTCATGCTCAACAAGCAAAATCCCAATTCCAAATATCAATGGCTTACAACCCAAAAAGTTATATTAGCACATCAAAATTTGTATGCATGTATACTTGGTGAAAAAACAAAAAATATCAAAGAGAACAAAAAATAAGCAGAGGTCACAGATGATCATACCATATAAATCCCAAAGAGCTCGAGCAAAGAAATTAGCTCGGTGAAGTAGCATAAGTTAATTGCTGCAGGGTAGTAACGAGTATCCTCAGATAGTTTTCCTTGCTTGAAGATATTACAAGTTTCACTACATCTGGTATCAAGTCCACTTGATCCCAAATGAGAACTGCACCTTGTGATAGTTTCATTTGAGCAGGCGTGGTTATTCCACTGAAGAGAACATAAATCCAGCTCATCCAATAGTGAAGAGATGAAACCATCTATGGAAACCGTATCCACATTAAACAGGCGATGTGCACAGGACGGTAATGTTGTTGGTTTATTTGACTGGATATATGATGACACAAGGCACATAGAAGTGTCCTTGCTCTCAAGAAGCAGGACAAGTAACCGTATAGCTGTCATGAGAAAGTTGCAACTCTTTGGTGGGAGAAACTTATCACCACACATGGAGCCAAAGACATGGAGAGCTAGCAGAGTCCACAAAAGATTACTTTTACCCATCTGAAGAACTTTGTAAGAAACCTCTAATACAATGTCCACTCTGCCCACTTCCACACATATTGAAGCCAACAGAATGCAAGCCGCGATAAATTCATTTATTTTTGCAGGTTTAACAGATAGCTGTAAACCAGTTTCATCATCTAATTCATGATCTTTGCTTGCGCCAAAAACCTTCTGTCCCATTTTCTCGCAGACTACAACTTCTTTGTTCAGGAGAAAATCTTCAATTAAGGAGAAAAGAACATCCAGCTCATCTGCTCTCAGAATGGTCCACCTTGTTTCCATATGAGATTTCACTGCAAAGAAGAAAACAAATTGAAATTGTAACCCAGGAGTTAGCATATGATACTGATCAAAGACTATCAACAAATCAATATAATAGCTTTGTCAAAGCATACAATGAGTTAGTAGCAATGTTATTGATGTATAAACAAAAGCGCATTTGGTAGTGGTGAGGAAAGGTAGGAAAAACATCACATTCCATAATGTGTGCATCAAAGCAATTCTGAACTACGTAATAACATGCGCATGATAACAGGCCACTGATAGAATGCTACAGCTACATGACAAGCAAACCCTTCATAGACAACTAGTGGCCACATCTAAAAGGCATAGAAGCCTATGATCGGACATTTTACTATTAATAACCAGAATAAAAGAGAGGAAGTTTAACATACAAATTTTGGACAGAATCCGAGCTACAAAGATAGAAAGAAAGCAATTAAACTGTAAAAGACTTTTAGATGTCATACCACTCGATGAAAAAAAGCTGATGAGGCAAAATTTCCATCTGCAAAAGTTTCTTCTGTGAATCTAATATCCCACAACAAAAGGGAAAATATGAGGGAAACCTTCTCACTGCAAAAGAAATCAGATCATTTAGTTTTTATAAATTTTTTTTGCAAATGTTAGAGTGCATATAAAGCCTAAGTTAAACAAGTGCAAGCAAACCTACTCTGTAGGTAGCAATGTGTCAGTTGACACTTTATCAAGCAATGGACCATCAACTGAAGCTTCGTTAGAATGCTTTTGGGATTGAGAACTCAGTATCTCCCAATACCGAAATATGTTCATCATGTTGCTTCTTTTCATTCTTGTAAATCCAACTAAGTGCATTGGAGGTTTTTCAGATCCACAATGATGCCCAAGCAAACTATTAGAGACTGAATTGTATGGCTTGGTCACTGTTGTTTCACTTGTCCCAACATTAGCTTGCAGCCCAGGACTTGATGATTTGTCACAAAATTGATGTGAGCTGTTTTTGGTAGGCACTTCCTTGGACAAATGTATAATGGAATTTGAATGACCACTGCAGGTACTTCCTGATAACACTGGTCTGCTTATACTGTCTAATCCCTCAGCAGAAGATGCAACAGAATTCTGGACCACATCCTCATGCAAAAGGCTGCCTAAAAAAGCGCTCGTTGGCACTACGACCAAACTGGTGCTACAAGAAACATTGACAGCTGCATTGGATTTATCATTCGCGAAAAGGGGTTTAGCAATGCCACTACACTCGATTATATTTGACGATGGATCAAGCTGCATACAATTTTGAGTCGATTTCTGAATTGCAGGCTCTTTAACTTCTTTGGACCTTGTCTTGGAATCAATGGCATCCGATCCTAAGGCAGGACAATTGTTGAGAGATCTACCCGAACTGTGAGGTTCTGCATATGTAGGCACTTTAGTTCTACGGGGTCGGATAACGGTCAGGTTTGGTGAAAGGGGTCTCTCCTTTGCCTTTCTATACTTTTCCTCATCTGCATCATCATCCAAATTGAGCAACTTTAAGCAGTTTTCCTGACCATTTCCTCAAAGGGATCAATGAAGCAAACTTGCTACTAGCACAGCCATTTCCTCCACAAGAAGACACTTTAGAAGGAAACTGGATGGAGGAGCTTTATCAGAGACAGCAAGATATTTTCTCCTATGATTTTCCATGTAACCTTCAGTCACACACATGGTGTTATTTCCTTGCTGCAGACACGAAGGATCATCCTCAAATGCTAATGCAACATTTGAAGTGGCAGCATACACCTTTGGTTTCAAATGCAGCTCACTTTTAGAGGGAAGAAAAGCAGAGGGTTCTGGAGACCTTTTGGTCCTCTTTCTCTTCCTATCACCACCAAGTGTTTCTCTTTTATCTGTAACTTCCGTACCACAAGACAAGGGTATCCTCAATGCTTCTGGAGGCAATGTTCTATCATTACTAACTTTAGGAGGCAGCTCAGAAACAACTGAATTCTGTTTTTTTCTGATGTCTGTCGATGAGACAAATAGGCTATCCTTACCCTGTGAGCCCATGATTTTTTCATCAGATATGGATGTTGGACATAAAGATCTGTGCTGACTTTTTGACTTTGTTCTGTGAGAGCTACCAAGAGGGGACCCTAATTCAGAACTAGTACCTGAGATTGGTCGTGAGCAGCTTTCTCTGGGTAACTGATATGAAGTGTATTCACTTGGGATAGAAGAGCCAAATGGAACTATCCCAGACTGCAGCCCAAAATATGGGGCAGGAACTGAATCATTAGGAAACAGCTTCTGTTCAAAGCCACGTATCTCCGGATGTTGATTCAACTGTAAATATGAGACAATGCCAATAATCACATCAGTTTATATAGATAGAACATAACAAGTATAAATGAACTTAAAAAAACATATGCAATATATCAGGAACAAGATCAAAGAATACACGGGTCATATCTACTACAACATATAATTTATGAATTATAACTGCTCATTCATAGGCACTGTACAGTGATCTAGAGGAAAACCAATAATGTGGCATTTCAATGCATATCAACATTACATTACATAAGTGATATATTAGTTTGACCCAGCATTCTATTTGCAGAAAACATAAACACAAAAAGAACATCATTTTTGCCATGTGAAGTCACAGCCCACCGGGGCAACCACAACATTAAAGACATCCCCTCTGTTTCACAAATTCTGACCACTATCTTGAGAATCACCCTTTTCGAAATGTTTGCCCTTTTAAAACAGGCGTGGCTACTGCAATATTTCCCCTCTCTAATAATATAAAGCAGGTTGAGTAGTTTTATTTTCCGGGCTGGTGCCACATTGTCCGCGTGGTGAAATATCATGGAGTGCTCGACTTAAAAGTTACACCCTTTTACCTAAGAGTCCCAAATTTTCTATTTTTATAGGGTTTTTTTTTGTGTAGTAACCAGGGAAAAAATCGCAGAAATGATGATACTATCATCGGACTAAAGAAGTAGCATGATAAATTTCTGCAAAAGTGTGTGGAAACGGCCAGCTTCCTAAAGAAATGACTATACTATGAACAGAAAATCATCAGCATGAAACAATGACGTATAAAATACTTTAATGCAATAAGATTTTTTTAGTATGATCTAGCAGGCTATATGGAATTAGATGAGAAAAAAATAATCTTATTGACCACCCCAAGTACGAAACGACATGGGTTAGTGATCAGAAAGGTAAGCATTTACTCGTGGTACTTGCAAGCACACACTTATGACGCTTTCCCTACTCATACTTTGAAAAACAAAGAAGTTTTTTTAAGACAAAAATGAAGACTGAGAAAAGGTGCTATTTCAGAAATGGAATGACTGCCCCCTATGATTTCATTAACAAATCATTTTTTATTAGTATTAGAAGAAAGAAAGTCCATGAACAAATGCCTAATTGCATAGAGATGAAGAACAGTTCATTGTTCTATGAGGATGTCAGAACATTATTACCTATTGCTAAGAAATTCTTGTTTTTCCAAAAATTACCTTCGCAAACATAGATGAAGACAGTAATAACTAGAATGCAGGATACAGACCTCTGTTAAGACATGAATACCTTCAACACATGAGCAAGGTGGTCATCCAGCATGTTAAACCGACTCAGTAGCTGCATCCAGTCTTGCTTTAAACGTTGAAGCTCTCTTCTTATTAAAGCAGTTTTTGCTTTATCTAGTTTGGACACATTCTTTACATGCTTTAGTTGTCCTTTCTTCAGCTTAAGCTTCTCTTTGAGAAGCTTTACAGTTGCACTCTCAGAAGTTCTATCAACATGTCGCTGCCCATACTTGCCAGAAGAAATTACATCTCTGCCTGCAGAGAGTTCATTTGTCTTTCTCTGTAAATATTCAGTCTGTTTTCTCACCTCTTCTAATTTCTGGAACAATTGGTCTGCTCGTTTTTTCTCTTCTATTGCATTCTTTGTTTCAACCTGTATGCTAGTTCGCAAATGTTCATTGAGTTTCTTCTGCTCCTCTAACTTTGCAAATAAATTGTCAGCACGGCACTTCTCTTCCATTACTTTTTTCTTCTCAACTTCAATAAGTGTTTTGTTCTTTTCAGCTAATGATTTCTCTGAATCAGCACGTTTCTTTTCTCTGGCTACCTTTTGCTTCTCCATTTCAACCCTTTTAAGCATTTCTTCTGTTTTCTGAACCTGAGCAGTTAACTGTGCTCTGATTTCATTTGCTTCACTCCTCAACCTTTCACATGATGCTCTCCAATCATTGGCAACTTTTCTTTCCGTATCAGCAACTCTTCTATACTCTTCAGACTTCTGTGTTTCTGACTTCAATATCCTTTGCATTTCTAGAGTTTTGCACTTTTCTTCTTCAAATTTTTTCTTCTCAGAAGTAATCTTCTTCCTTTCTTCTCCTAAAACATGTATGAGCTTTCTATTTTCTTCCTCCAATTCAGAGATGCGTAAAGGTTCATCATTATTTTTGCAGGTATTTTGTGTTTGCTTCAAACTTGAGTTCTGTGTCTTTAATTCAATTATCTCCTTTTCCAGTAGATCTCTGGCATCAGACTCAGTTGCCCTAGCTGCTTCTGCTGAATCACCTCGGAGGCGTTCCTCCTTGCACACTATTCATCAAAGAAAAAACAGAGAATGCAGCATTAAAGCATGATACACATAAGACTGGTTTCATGATGTATGCATGAGACACATAACTGTTCATCAAGAATTACATATGCTTTAGGTAGGTGCCATCAAATCACGTAATCAAGTGTTTTAGAGTGTACTACAGTAAGGGTAAAATTGGGGGGGGCTAATAGATGCTAACAAATAAAAGATGCATTGAAGAGAAATCAAACATGATGTTAACAAATACATGAAGCATTAATGAGAAATCAGACATAGGGGGTGTTTGGTTCTTTAGTCGCTCCTAAAATTCATGTCACATCGAATATTCGGATGCTAATTAGGAGGACTAAATATGAGCTAATTATAAAACTAATTACACAGATGGAGGCTAATTCACGAGACGAATCTATTAAGCCTAATTAATCCATCATTAACACATGTTCACTGTAGCATCATATTGTCAAATCGTGGACTAATTAGGCTTAATAGATTCGTCTCGCAAATTAGCCTCCATCTATGTAATTGGTTTTGTAATTAATCTATATTTAATACTCCTTATTAGTATCTAAACATTCGATGTGACATGAATTTTAGGAGCTACCTAAAGAACCAAACAGGGCCATACTTTGAAAGACATCTTCTCTGTGATAGGCACCTTCTGTTAAAATTCCTGCTAGCATGCTATGAAATTAGAATTTAGAGCATTAGATACTTCATAGAAGTAGTTTTTTATAAGAAAAAAGTTTGCCTTTCTTTGAGTGCAGCCTAGGTATGAAAAAGAAAGAGCCAAAATACTTGCCTTTCAGCACAAATCACAAAAATCAACAGTATAACTACACAAAATGTAGGTCAAGAATTACTAGATATAATGCATACAGTCTAAACATGTGCATTACCTCTGCATACTTAGGGTGATCTTTTCTTTCTATTTGTAACCAGAATCGTAATGCAGGAAAAGAAAACAAAGAAAGCAGCACACTGGGAAAAGAAATCAGGGAACACATTAGGAACCTTTGCTGAGCTCCGAGTTCTCCTTCTGCAGCTTCTCGTTCTCGGCCTGCAGGAGCTTCACCGCCTCCCGCAGCGCCGTCCGGCTCGTCTCCAACTTCTGGTACTTCTTCCACAGCTGCGGAACCCAAACCCCAAAAGAAAATACCCCAGAAAAGAAGGCACGTCAAGAACGGAAAAGACAGGATGCGGCGTAATGGTGAGAAGAGGGAGGGTCAATTACCTTCGCGCAGCACGGGTTGGGGCCGCCTACGCCGGCTACGGCGGCCGCGGCGGAGGAGGAAGAGGCCGCGAGCTGAGCATCCTGCGAGGAGGCGGGCTCTGGCGGTTCCCCCGCCATGGCGTGGCGGCGAGAGTCCGATGGAGAGGAAAGGTTTAGGGTTTGAGCGGTGCGGGACCGGATCGGAGAATCTGGAAGCGGAGGCGGTGGAGCCCGAAGAGGTAGCCGTTGGACCGACCTCAGCCTTGGTTCCAGAAGCGGGTGAGTGGGCCGACTTTTGGCCCTGTTTGGAGCCGCTTCTTGCACAGTCGCTCGAGAGGCACTGGCGCCGCCGCCTCCGCGATCCTCCTCTGTCGCCGGGCTCCTTCTCCCGCGCGCCGCCGCCGAGCTCCTTCCCCACGACGGCGCTGCACTCCCCACGCAAGGCCGCAACAGCCAGGCCTGACGAGGATCGAACCCGGGTTGCAAGTTGCAACGCCACAAGGCCCCTAAAAAAGGAAAATAAAAAAGGAAGAAAAATAAAAAAAGGAAATGGAACGAAAAAGGAAAATAAAAAAGGAAGAAAAATAAAAAAAGGAAATGGAACAAAAAAGGAAAATACAAAAGGAAAAAAAGGAAGAAAAATAAAAAAGGAAATGGAGCAAAAATAAAAAGCGCCGTTGCCGGGGATCGAACCCGGGTCACCCGCGTGACAGGCGGGAATACTCACCACTATACTACAACGACCCAGATGAAAGACTAGCTAAATATATTTTATTTATTTGAGGTGAAGATAAAAGTGAGTCCTCCAAGTGCCAGCCAATTTCAAAATTTAATTGAATATATAAAATATACTGATGTTTATGCTACCAAATAAATATGGATGTTATTTTTTTATAAATTTAGTCAAGCTTCAAATTAGTTAACTTATAAAATAGGAGATGTGCATTTATTTTGGAGTGAGTATCTAACAAAAACTTTTGCCGCGATGTCTCCGTGCTGATCCACCACGAGCCAAGACAAATCGCTTGCCAGGTGGTCCGCGAAGAACAAACACGTCACACATGAAGCGTCTGTTCCAAAGGATCTGAGTGGATGGGTGGAGACGGCTGCACTGCACACCGTCCAGCACTGGGATTTGTTAGTCGGAGACTCGGAGTCGGAGAGGAGCACCGAGCACTCGGCCAGCGTCGCCTCGTCGACCTGCAGCCTGTTCGGAACGGTTCTCTCGTTCGTTTCTGACGCGTGAGAAAGTATCGTTGGTTGATTTGTGTGAAAAAAAAATATTATTTATGTATAAAAACACTGTTTATATGAACAGTGTTCGTATGAGAGGGCCAGCACCAGCCAGCCGCTCCAGCCGAACGGGCTGCTGGTCACTCAAGGTGGCAGTGTGCCACAAAGCCGAAGGGCTAGAGGACAACTCTCTCTGTACGTGCGGCGCGCAGTATTCAAATGCACGCAAAGCTAGCAACCCCGCCACTCGTCGCGCCCCCACGGTCCACGGCCCGAGCTCTCCCGATGATAGACCACCGTGGCTCGCAGCTTCGGATCTCGCTACCCGCATCACCACCACCACTAGCGCACTCTCCGCCTCCGATGACGCAGACCCCCACGCCCACGGCCGCGGTGGCCACTGCTGCACCGGGGCCCGAGCCCGCGCCGGCGGCGGCGGCGGAGCTGCCGGACGCCATCGCGGCCGCGCTGCCGCCGGACCCGTACGAGCAGCTGGAGGTGGCGCGCAAGATCACGGCCGTGGCCGTGGCGTCCCGGGCCTCGCGCCTCGAGCTCGAGGCCGCGCGGCTACGGCAGAGGCTGGCTGACAGGGACCGCCTCGCCGCCGAGCTCGCCGACAGGGCCGCCGAGCTCGAGCTGGCACTCCGCGACGCCGACGCGCGACTCCGTGCCGCGCTCGACGACAACGTGAGAGTTCATATCATCCTCCACCTCGCGCTCTCGATTGGCTGCTTGCTGCTTTGTATTTTGTTGCTTTTTTAATTTGGCGGTGCCTTGGCGTCTTATTGCCTGCTTACTGATAACCGGTGGTTGATTTGGATTGCGATTGCTGGCGTGGGCGAAGGCCAAGCTGGTCAAGGAGCGGGACTCGCTCGCGCAGACGTCCAAGAAGCTGGCCAGGGACCTCGCCAAGGTGATTGCCTTTTGTGATGTGATCCAGATCAGTGTACTTCAGCTAGTCAGCTGTAAGCTCACATTAGTTCTTTGTTTCTTCCTCTCTCTCTCTCTCTTTTCTATTTCTTTTAACTGACATGCAGCTGGAAACCTTCAAGCGGCATCTGATGCAATCGTTGGGCGATGACAATTCCCAAGTGAGTTGATCCTCCTCTCTGCAGTCCATTGAGCACTTTGTACAATTTTGGGTGTCAACAACTAAACATATTGGTTTGTGCTAACTGCTAAGCATTACGGCAAAGATCATTTTCATTGCCGATGTCCTCATGTTCCGTGCCCCTTATCAGATTCAGGAAACAGTAGACATAAGAACCTGCGAGCAATCGGTGGCAAAAGCGAATTCCTGGAAAGGTACTGTCTGTCCCTTGCACAACGTCTAGTCTACTTGCGGTTGCACTGTCTTACCACTCTGTTTTGTTCATATGGTGTCATACCATTTGTCCATCTCTGTATCCTTTTCCTTTCTGAAGATGGACTAGAGAACAGCCATCCAGCATCCTCTCTATCCGACGAATCCAACGAAGCCGAAAGCATAAATCAGGAAGGTAAGACACGTGACCACGACATGCATCTTCACAATCTTGCAAGTCTTTTTCGACAATAGCTTCTGATGCTCCTTTGGCCTGTGTCCTGTACGCTTTCTTGGAACAGTAACGAGGCCATTCGAGCAGAAACTGACCATCACGCAGATCACTCCACGCCTCACTTCGGATCCTGCGACGAAGCTGAGAACCGCCGCAACAACATCTCCGAGAAGGTACTCCACGGCGGTGTCGCCCAAACTGGCGTCCGGCGCCACCTCGCCGCGATTGGACGGCCACATGGCGATGTCGCCATGGCTACCCTCCAGCAAGATGTCCTCTGCAGCCAACTCGCCTCCTCGTGGACACTCTACCTCAGGTAGTGCTTGTGAGTTGTGAGAGCATTCAGATCCTTAGTGGCACACGAGGCAATCCATTAACATTTTTTTCCCCTGACATTTTCTCGACGAACTCTGAATCAGGACGCGGTACAAGAGTAGATGGCAAAGAGTTCTTTCGTCAAGCAAGGTATGCTTGTCCCCATGCTTGCCCTGGTATATGTCCCGTACTTCGTAGAAAAATACCATAACTAGTTGAATTCACATCCCCAGAAGTCGCCTGTCATACGAACAATTTGCGGCTTTTCTTGCCAATATCAAGGAGCTCAACGCCCATAGGCAATCTCGAGAGGTGGGAAGCTTTTGACCCAAGTTTCAGTTTTCAAAAGATTTTGTTCACAACTTCAGGCGCCGAATTGTTGATATTCGCGTACACTGTTGTGCTGCAGGAAACCCTGAGGAAGGCGGATGAGATCTTCGGTGCAGAAAACAAGGACATCTTGAGGTCGTTCCAAGGGCTGCTTAGCCGCAGCCTATCGTAGTAAAAAAAGAGAAGAGCTTGGTAATCCTATCTATTGCTACTCGTTGTTACGGCTGTTCATGATTCATGAACAGGGCAGTCAGCAGGTATACACTTTGTGTAGAATAAAACGATGTGGACCATACTAAGACGTGCAGATTGCACTATAAAAATTGCATACTAGGATGCATCAAAATCAGGTAGTAAGTAAATCTTCTTTCTGCTCCAGATTTTGCCTGAAAAGAGTGAACATTTCCAGGTATAAACACTGGACACCACCAAATCAATACAAGCTGGACCGATCAAACCAAACACAGTAGAAAAGCTAGAGGACAACCTACATCAAACAAAAAGATCAAAAGAATCCAAATTCAAACAGCCATTGCATGCTTTCATTTATCTCCTTGTGACCGCTTAAATCACCTGCACAACGAGAATTACCAGAGTTGGCAATCAATAACTGAAACCGCACATGAAGAATTTAACACCTGGATATGAAGTACTGCTTGCAACTCTAATTGTACGGATAGTGAATGCATCCGACACAGTTCTGAAGTCAGAACGGCAAGAACTGCATAACCTGTAGCTAAAAGCAGCGAATTTCAACCTTCCTAGGTCTATATAAGACTAACTAAATTGTTAAGGTGTAGAAGCATCCAATCCACAGGGAAAAAAACATCCTCCACCATAACCAGACGGCCTTATGTACAAGGCAGAGCATCCAGGGAAAATTTGAGCTGTGTTTAGCATATTTCAGGATCATGTACAAGGGCTTTAGCTTGTGCTACAAGCTGCACTGACGGCTTTACTCGGGAAGTGCATGTAACTGTAAAGTGGCTGTACGAAAGGATGGCTGTCGATGTCCTTGAGCTTGTGTTACCATTCTTCTTTTCACTGCCTCTTGGCTAGCGTCTTTTTAAGGCCTCTCAAGATCTTCGCAAACCACATTATGTTCATGACAAGCAGTATTGTGGGCACAGAAAATACCAGAATGCAGCTAAAGGTATGCATCTGCTTGACCTGTCAAAATAGAATATACAAGATAAGTTTATTGTCAAACAGATTTAGCTTCAAAATCATCGGTGAGATATTGATGTGTACCCTAGTTTTTATGTGACAAGAGAAAAATACCTGATCATAGTGGAAGTAGATGTGGTAAAACAAGTAGACGAACAAAATTATCCGTGCCACCTGCATGAAGCAATTGGATCTCCACAATTAGAGAGAAAATAATAGAAAGTCACTAAGCAGTACAAGAACGACTGGCACTGATTAGGACAAATCAATTAAACACAGCTACCAGTTGTTAGCATTCATATTTCTAATTGAAAATAATCGTACTGAAGCACAAAGCGAAATGGGAATGAGAAATGTATATAAAATATCCTCGAGCCTCATATAGACCAAGAGAGATGGGAAATGTTTAGTGAAGTATAGATACACAGCATTATATTAAAGCATATTAGAATATTCTATGACAAATAGCAGATAATGTGTTCTTCATAACTTGCAGCATGAAATTACATTGTAGTAACATACCAGCCATGCAACAAACATCGTAAAACCATTGAC